ATTATTATTATTATTATTATTATTATTATTATTATTATTATTATTATTATTATTATTATTATTATTATTTTATTATTATTATTATTATTATTATTATTATTATTATTATTATTATTATTATTATTATTATTATTATTATTATTATTATTATTATTATTATTATTATTATTTATTTTCTTATTTGTTTCTTATTTATTTATTTATTATTGCTATTACTATCTTTAATCTCGTTTCATTCTTAATTATTCTCGATTATTGTGCCATATCAAATAATACCATTCATTCTTTGCCAAACCTTTAACCTTTATTTTTACTTTAACCGCTACCACTTTTATTTTAAGTAAATCTAACATTTCTATATTTAATTCCATTTTCTTATTTGTTTTTTTTCTTTTTTAAATTTAAATATACCTTTCGTTTTTCATTTTATTTTTTCAATTCTTTCAATCTTGGTACTAATAATATGGATCATTAGCAATTCAACAATTAGGGAATAATAGTAAATTAGGAATTATGATATGATAATTAAATGTTATTATATAGGATAGCAATTACACAATATATTAATATACGATAAAGCAAAATGAAAACTGTGAACTAATTATAGCACCCTTTTTATCCTTTTATTAATGATTTATGTTAGCTAATTATCATTTATGATCTGATAAATTGATTAGATATTTATAGCTTATGGAAAATTTTATCCTATTTTTTTTTTTGAAAATCTTTTTTAATAATCCATTTGTCCTTTCAAAAATAGCTCCCTTTCGTTTCAATCATTACTCGATGTCTACTTTAGATAGTATTGATAACTTATTTCAATAATTCTTCATTATTTCAAATTCTGATTGTTTAACAATTTCTGTTGTATAATGGATAATAGAAATACTCAAGAATTCAATAATTGAACATATCGAATTTATAGATGGATGATTAAATTTATATGAGTTTCCATCGAAAGATTTATGCTATCTTAACAGGTAAATGTAAGCTATTCCATCATTCGGTACAATCATCAAAACTAATCATTCCGAAATAACAAAATCCGTCAATTGATGATCAGCAAATGATCTGTCTCTTGTAGAAATCCTTAATTTAATTATTACTACATGTACTTCTTTTCAAGATTATACGGTAAATAAGATGTAGGATTGGACCATAATCTCATATTACTATTACAAATAATCTCATATTACTATATTAGCCATATTTCATAAAAGATTTAAAATTACTAATTCAAACAATTCTTTCAAACAAATATCGACAATTGTTAGTCCATTCTTAGGATGGGAAAAATTTAATTATGTAGCAAAAAAATTTCAAAGGTAATTAATTTTTATCAACATTCACATTTTGTTTTTCCTTTTTTCTTCTATTTTTGTTAAAAAATGAAGTATTAAAAATTTTTTTTCCATTTTTACCAAAAAAAAAAACGAAATTAAAAAATTCCAAAAATCAAAATGAATAAATTATTTTATGTTACTAATTAATTATCCAATAACAACGATAATATAAATAAATAACCAAAGGAATTTTATACAAAAAAAGAAAAAAAAACAATATTTTAAAGGGAATAGACGATATTTGTTAAAAAAAATGTATATTATTGAATGAGCATTTTGTAAAAAATTTCAATTCTAATTTTGAAACTATTATTCAAATCAAAATTTTTTAAATCAACCAAATATAACATTCCTTAAATTTCATATTAGGACTTTGCCATTTCCCCATTATAAATCATTCATACTTCAAATTAACTTATAACTAAAAATGTAAGCTAAATAATGAATTTGATATTTTTTTTTTCGTATAACCTATACAATATATTTCTGAAGTACGATGACTATATTAAGTAACTGATGATATAGGATTACTTGATTACAGGATAAAAAATTAGAAAGATACTAAAGTTCATAAATTAAATCAATCAAATTAAATTTAAAATGTCAGATGGGATAAAATACATAAACCCAAAAATTGCAAAAATAAATTTCAAAAGTAAAATTAAGAAATGAAGGCCAAGAAAAGAAGAAATACATCATTTGTGGGAGGAAAAGGAAGTGCTACTACTACATTTGATAAATTATTCATCGCTTCGGGCAATGAAGAAATAAGTGGGAAGAAACCAATTAAAATTGTCATCAATGATTAGGACAAATGACCACTTCCTACCTTTCATCCTTTCTTCTTTCATTTCTCTTTCGCCTATCATTTCCCGGTATTTACCAGATATAAAAACGCGATAAAACTGTGAATGAAAATTGTGCAAAAATGAGTAAGTTAATCAAAGGAGGGATGTTAAAAATTACTGTCATTTTAAACATATCGATTCTAACATAATAATGGAGTATTTAAAAAGTTAGAAAAAAAAAAGACAGATAAAAAGTAAAGACCGAGAGAGAGAGAGAGGGAGGGAGAGAGAAATGAAGAGAAGAGATTTTGATGGGTCAAAACTGGTTTTATCTTTTCCTTAACTAGTTCATAATAGTTTTCAACATAATTGGTTTTAAAATTCGCAAAAAAAAAAAGAAAAAATCATCTTTTATGTAATTTACAAAATAAATTACTACAGCAAACATAAATGCTAAAAATTTCAATTTATACACTTCCCTTGAAGTTTAATAAATTAAATTTCTTTTCATTCAAATCAGACGAATTTTTATTTGGATATTAATTACTTTAATTGAAAAAAAAAGAAGGAAAGCCATCCACTTAAAGAATTATAAAATTAAAAGAAAGAGAAAAGGTATAAAAAATCACCACGTAAAATGGCTTCTAAGAAATTTACTACAAAAAATTTTTTTCTCTTCTAGTTAAACTTCTACATTTCTCCCCTAGTTTTTTTTCTCCTTTCAATTAAATTAATTGAAATTAAATGTCAAGTAGAGGAAACATGGTTCATTTTCAGAAATATTCTGCATTTTTTTTTTTTTTTCAATATTCAAGTAAGAAATTCTTTTGATTGGACGAGAGGTAAAAGATGCAAATGTTATTTTTAATATGTTAACAAAATTTTATTGGATTATATATGATCATTTATGCAACACTAAATACTATTTAATATACAAATATATATACAGTAATACATGATATAGGAACTCTCAGTTTAGATATTAATCTTATCCTAATATACTCGTCGTCTGGAATACTTATCTAATCATTAGTAAATTCGATTAATTTTGACAATTTATTCTTTTAAACTTTTTCTAGCCCATATTTGTTATCATTTAGTTAGCTGATAAGAAAAAAATTTCCCCTGCATTGAACGTTGCATTACCGCAGTTGTGATCTTTTCGGATAGTAGGCTAACAAATAATGAACGATGGTATCGATGACACAGTATCCAAGGTTAATAGGATGAAAGAAAAACGACTGATGGGTGAAATAACAATTTTACTTCATATTACTTTTCAAATTAACAGTTTATAATAATATATAAAAATAAGAGATGTACACATTTTCAGTATCGCTATCTCTCAATTCCTTTTGACAGTTCAATAACATTCTGGTCCGATATGTAAAAAAAAAGAAAACAAAAAAAAAATGCTGAAAGAGAATAGATTTCTCTGGAATATTTTATAGCCAATAAAACGATCATTTGAGAAGAACAAATGTAATATCTCGAACATATTGCAATTACCGAAACTACTAGACATTTTCATCGTTAACAATATCTTGAGAATGGATTTTGCTGAGAAAAGGGAAAGTACCTAAGATATGTACCTAAGACACATAATTCATGTTGTAGCAGTAGTAACATTGAAAATTTAATTTTTACTAAAAGAAAAGAATCCATACCATGAAAATAACCTCCCAATGAATATTAAACTTACACAGCAAATATAGGTATGCTTCGTATTGCAAAACAAAGAGAATATAACTGAGCAGAACAATAAGAGTGCGGTAATAATTTCGCCAACTCCCCCCCTATTGTTTGATTAAATAAAAATGTGCAATGAAAAAATGAAAATCCTTGTTACTTTTTAAAAAATAGCACTGCTTCATTTGAACAAACAAGAAATCCATTTTGAAAAGAAAATGACAGCTCGGAATTGATGGATCAACTACGTTATTCAGTTTTAACTTAACGTCTCAACCTACCAACTTTCGTTCAAATAAACCTTGGTATTTGGAAAACAATTGGGTTGCACATTTTCTAATCCGGGCTGAATAACAAAAAATCGGCAAAAATATTAACGAAAATATCAAAAACACAAACAAAAAGTTAGCAATAATCATAAATGCAGCAACTTATTCAAAATTTTCGGACGAATCATAAAGTCACAACAAAGTGGACAGAAGATGAATTATAGCAAAAAAAAAGAAAAAACAATCTGGTGACTGGTTGCAACAAACTCAAATACTCTAAAGATACGATATTCCGTAAAGTATTGAAAGAAATCCTAAACAACCAAATTAGTAACAGTGGAAGTCCACGGAGATATCAGCACAGTGCACCGTCTGAGCTATGGTATTTAAAAAAGACTTTGAAACGTAAGAAATCGTTAAACGAAATCTGTATTTTGTAACGACCAAATACGACATTAGCTTACAAGGATTAACGAGCATATGAGAAAATCATAGACTTCAGTATCCTGCAGCAAAGATTAAACCTTGAGTCAGGGGAAAAAAATTAAACCCCAAAGCGCTATATAAAACTTCGATAAACAAAAGTATCGGAAATAAATTTCTATACAAAGCTGTAATCAAGTTACCAATGCATTATCTATAACGCTTCCATCATCGGAACCTAACAAAACTTCCACCTGTTGCCGCATTCGCGACAGAAAACGAACGTGGTCATAGGTTCATCTGCACTGCGCGTCTGCACTTGTGTATAGGTACAGTTTTTCTTCCCACACTTCCCACATTTAAACATGTCGGAAGGAGTTCCCTCCTGAACTGCCATCTGATATTCTTCAATTGCCTGAAAAATTGCATCCTTATCAATAAGTAACTGAAATTCAATTTCCTGATAATATTTCCGCGATTTTTGCAATCCATTTCGCAATAGTAATGCTACTCATAAGTATTGGAGCTCACAGAAGCGCCCAACTTTCAAACTATTTGGTATAGCATTTTTTTTTTTTTGCTCCATAGTAAATCGTATGCATAAACAAAAAGATTCCAGGAAAAAATTAAATGAGAGGCAAGAAGAGTTAAATCAATTTCACTTAACATGTCTATCAATTGGTTACTGCTACTCATAGCAGTAAACCATCAGTTAGCCAATAACGCCTCCTTTCATTCTGCTTAAACAATATTCAGTTGTTTTAAAATATGTGAGCCGTGTAAGTTATCATGAACATTCGGTATTACAACATATAGAAAAAAACTTGAAAACTTCAACTATTCAAACCTGTTTGGTGAATTTCTCCCGTTGTGCTTTCATTTCATCTGAAGCCATTTCATCGGCTGTCATTACTGCAAATCTGTAATCAAAAAACTCATGAAGTGAAAAAGCCGCTAATTACAGCTAAAATCTGCATAGAACGACAAAAATGCAATTTTATAAATCATTCCCCTAAAATTGTCAACCAAAATACAGAACAGGTTATGAATGCAACGAGTTTTAGAGATAATACAAAACTACGGAAGAGACTACGATCTCCATGACTGTTGTGGTATGTCAAGATGGTAGCACAAATATACGCTAAAAAAAAGATTGCCTAATGTGTACTGCACCAATTATTACACCTGTTAGGAAATAACTTCCTTTAAATCCGTACAAAAACCAGACTTGATTGGGTAGTCTTCTTTTTACAAACATCTATTGCACTTTTGAAATACATACAATTTCCACGTTTTTCACAAAAATTGACAATGAGAAGTTCATGATATAAACATAGTCCGCTACAGTCTTGAAGTTTTTTTTTTTTGCTAGAACAGTGACAATTATGAAAGCAACTGTGATTATACGCAGTAAAAAAATGGATCTTTCTTGTCGTAACCAGTAAGATGAATTTCAAAATCAAATTTTCAGTGTAACTATAAGAATTTTCTTTTCAGTGTAACTATAAGAATTTTCTTTGCTCACTACAAGTTATACCAATCATAATACAAATAATTTATTTCAAATCTTATTTTAAAAAAAAATATTGTTTCCACATGTATTGGTTCCCGACAGTTAATATAGCATAAAACTTTTCCAGGTGTTCCTTCATGCATAACTCAACCAAACTTAACCACCCCCACCTTTTCTTTCTTTCTTACTTTGCCTGCTCCAGTTCATAACAAAAATACCATGTGATTCATTTCAGCGACCAAAATATCTCTATTGTTTTTCTCTTCAATGGCAGATTTAGTAGGTTGAATGAATAAGAAATGCTCCGAGTATAGGAAGAATGAAGCTTAAAAGCACCCATCCTGGCACTACCATTCAAAAACAAATATTGCAATACTAGGATTAGATATATATAATATAAAAGTCCTACTTCACTGTCATTGATATTTGCATTTCGAAAATTTTGTTGACGATGCAGTAAAATATGCAACCTATGTTTTCTACAAAAAAAAACGCCATTAATAATGGTAAAATTAAAATCTCGCCAGCAACTAACTTACCTAATAAGAAAAAAATGAATTTACAGATCTACACAGAGTTTTGTGTTGGAAAAAAAGCTCAACTTACTAAAACGAAACACCTTTTTTTTGAAAATTTGATATAGTTGGCTAACAGTGAAAAAAAAGGTTAATTAGACAGAGAAAAAAAAACTTATACGGATATTCAAACTTGAAGAAAAGACAAGATTTTAGTTGCTATTATTCATTAGCTATAAGCTTGCGGTTATTATAATATAATAAATGATTATGCTGAAATTAACAAATACTTCTCAGGAGTCACAGCACCAATCAACACGTTTTCACGGAGAACCAAATTCTTTTTATCACGCAGGTTGAACACTCTACTTCGTAGGGCTGCTCTGTATTTTTCCGAAGTACCACGATGCACCTGAACACAATTATTTTTACCCCAAATTTGTCTTTAATGTTGATGACATAGTTTTTAAGACTGGCAGACCTCAAAAGTTAGTCGAAAATCTATAAATTCATTCAATCTTATTACAGTGATAGTCTGATGTAAGAAAATACTTTGCACTTCTTAACCATTAGTCGGAATAAAAACATATTGTTTGGAGAAATATTATATTTACTCCGTTATCTTATAGAAGTGACAACAAATGCCAGAACTTTACACCTTCATATCGATATAACTATTGGCATATCATAATCTCAATGTCACCAACTAACAACTAATGAAAAATAATCTCATTTTTAAACAAAGCTTCATTTTACGTCTTAATAAAACATGATGCATACTAAATGCCACTGAAAAGCTTTTATTCTTTTTCCAACATACAAGCTAATACTAAGAATACAGTCCAGAAATTTCCTACCTCAAACAATTTCCTTTCAGTTCGCACTGCCAGTTCTTCAGGGTCAAGAGTTCCATCGGGCAGTTCCTTTGAAAGTAGAGCATCGAGGATCATTGTAGCGCACTTATTTCTGACCTGAAAAGCAACTACTTCAAAACTAGAAAAAAAAACAATCGAAACATATCTAAAAACCGACCATGAAACCCGACTTGTAGCGCTTTATTAAAACAACGAAACAAGATTAACAAATAATACGTCAAAGAGGATCAGCAGAATGCATTGATTTGAGACTATGAAATTATTTAGCGACCGCCTTCATTCAAAATTCTGTAAACTTTCCGGATTATTATTCGCATACCTCATCAGGAAGGAGCTGCTTCCTGGCTGTAGGCGTGGGCGTTGAAGAATTAGCTGTACCGGATGAAGTACACTTCTGTGATACAGAAGACTGCGATAAATGTTTCGAGCTTTCATTAAATGTAGTTGAAGAAACCGATGGTGATGAACTGTTCTTTGCCACCGCATCTTTCGCATCACCCTTACTACTACTCGTTTTATTCGCCAATAAAACCTTCCATTCCTGAGAATGAATCAACATAGAAATCACAAAATCCAAAAAAAAAGGAAAACAAAAAGATATGAAATATATACAAACAAATTGAACAAACTACTAAAAAAACAATAGCAAGCCATAAAGTAACAAGCAAATCACTTAGAGATACATTATTATTTATAACATAAACAAAATGTGCAAACTACTGATAAATAATAATATATGACAAATTGGACAGTGGAAAAACAAAATATTGCAATATCATTCAATTTGCCATACTGTATGCTATTTCACAATTTTTAACGAACAGCTAGCACCATGCACTTCTTAAATGCTGCGTAATGTATCTCTACCTCTAACTGACAAAATGAATAACTTTTTATTCCGAAACATACCCCATAACACCGCCAATTTTACAACTTCTTCACAAATGAAGCATTTGCAAGCAAATAAAAAATACTACTTTATCACATACTCCTACACTAAGTCTAATATGCCCATGACTCAAACGACTCGGTATATAAAAGTTAATTAATGAAGGCCCAATGTTGTATTGTTACTTTTTTTGGCACCTTAAAAACTTTCGTGAGGAATATCAACTAGAAGATAGAAAATGAAGTGCGATAAAGTAATAAGCATTGTTACAAATGATGTTATATCACTCTTGAACTAATCGAACAACTTCTAACGAAAGCAGAATTCGAATAACTTAGTCCATAAAATCGAAGATTGAACTTAAGCGAACATT